TATACTGAGTAGAACACTGAGCAGGTGGCAGACTACATCTGTAGTCCAAGCAGAGGGGTACGAAGAATATTACTGTTTGCATGTTGAGAGATCAAAGTCAGAGGGTTTACCTTCTTGATAAGCTAATAGTTCTTCAACTAAGAAAGAAATTTGCCTTTTATGGAACAAAGAGTTCACCAGCCTGTTCACTGGACCTTATCTGAGTTAGATTAAGATTGGAAAGGCATACTCTCTGGAGCAGATCAATGTTCCAAAGGCATTCTTTATGCCATGTCATGTAGGCTGTTTCTCCAATAATGTGATCCCAATTCACTGCTGCAACCACGATCACCCTGTTACACTGTACATTCCTGTGGAGGATCTGCTACACCCTACACCTCCGACCACAGCACACCTGGGACATGCCCCCTATGACTCCCCTTCAAAACACTCAACCAGGGCACTAAACCCAACCCAACCTGACCCAAACAGGTTCTCCACCCCAACTGAAAGCATGTGTTACATAAGGTGTATCAGCACCACACTTTACCTCCGAAACAACCCCACTGCTGTCACTTTTTGCTGCTCTGCCCCATCCAGTAGGTAAGTACCATTTATTGTGCACTCCAATGATAGTGACTTACATACAGGAAATTCTACATTCAAATAGGCATCAACAACCTTATGTTAGAAGTACAGAGCAAAAAGATAGGGAAGGAGAACCATTCACAATTTAATAAATTTAAGAGGATGGCAAGTCTTCTGGGTTGTAGGATTGTGTGGTCTGATAGAAGTTTAACAACATTTCAGAGGTACTTGTAGTGAGTGATGGAGGCAGCAAGTACCTCTGAAAAGTTGGTAAACATCTACCAGACTACACAGCATTCAACACGGAAGAAAGCCGTCTTCGTACTTGCTGCCACGAGAACCTCAAATCCTTCTTAATAAATTTTGTTTTCCACTCTGCATCAGGCCAATTTCTTACATTGGCCATTCCAATAGGGAGCCTTTTAAAATGTTACAAAAATTGCTAGAAATGGACTCCTTTACATTCTTTGTATATTCCATTGTTTAACGTTAACTGAGGACTTTCCCCTGAAGAAGTACTTAGTGTACAGAGGTAGCTTGACCTCAGAGGTTGTCCTACTAGGCTTCCACTGGTTCAAAAATGCATTTTTACAAATGCTTGCTTTTGTGTCAGACTTTAAAATAAAATACCTAAAAGTGGTCATCCTACCTTGGCAGATCTGCCAACTGACACTGACTACAGAAACAGCATAAGTCAGTGACTTATGTTGAAAATACACCAAAGCAGACCAGACCACACCATACCAGCCTGACCATTTGAAATTTAAATACCAGAATTAAATATGTTAGCAGTGTTCCCAACAGTCAGGGCAATCGGTCTGGTCTGCTACAGCTTTTCCACCCTTATTTTGTTCTTGTTTACAGTCAGGAATCCCTGGATCTAAATATGCAACAGATACTAATGGAACTCACATGATTTTCACACACAGTTTGTAATTACCTTCATTTCAGCTAAAAATTTGATTATGAGAAAAAAGTAACATGTTGTTTCTGCAATCATTGATTCAGTTACGATGATTATGAAAAAAAAGTAACATGTTTCTGCAATCATTGATTCAGTTACGATTGATCCAGCATTCCAACCTGGAGGCTTCACTTTCATTAGTTACACAGTGTTGCTGCTCTCCTTTCTACAAAGCAAGTGTGGCAGCAAGCAAAACATAATGTATTCTGGATAAGCAGCTAACTGTAATTTGTGTACAATTTTGCCCACCAACCTCTGTTCCTCATTGTTCATTACAGGGATACTGTTCTCTTCAATGGTAGTTTCATCATTAACTTCAACTTTGACTTCAGTAAGTGTCCAGCAATATTCATCAGTTCCAGCTCTGGGTAGCTAAAGACAGAAAATAATCTGTATCATGAGCAGTAGTTAAATGTTAGTTGTATACCTGCCATGCATAACACTACACATATCATAAAGACATATGACAAGTTCTATTCATTCTAAAATCCTGACACTTGATCGCTGTTAATGAACATTCAGATCAAATGATTAATACTTTGGCATGCTCCGTGTTCAAATCTCAGCATCAAGACTTGCTATCCTGACAGGTTTTTGTGGTTTTCCTTAGTCCCTTCCAGGCAAATGCCAAGACAGTACCTTATATCAGTCCATTATTCCACAACCATTTCCTTCCATATTCTTTCCAATTTGTTGTTCACTATCTAGTGGTGTACTGTATAATCTTATTATCTACCGATAATGTCACTAAATAGCCTACAAATAAATAAATTGATGCCACCACATGGTCTATACCAGGCACATAGATCAAACTGGGTAGCCCTAGTACCAAATATAGCAAATAATAAATTATGTGGAAGCTCATTTAAGAACAAGACAGAAATTATAACACTGAATGAAACAACAATTCGAGGAAGCCAAAATAACACAATTGAAATTAAGTCCCAGAGATAGGCATGGCATTCATACATGCTACCAAAACCTGCAAACCCAATCCATGCAAAACAGGCTTATTCATGGTAGACAGAGCCCCAGTTGGACTGCCCTAGACAGGGAAAACCACCAAGGGTGAAATTTATTTTGTGCTAAACATGCCAAGCCGAATTCTGTAGATATCTTTCAGTCTGCATCCCACACGGCAGTAAGTTCTAAGACACCAGGCAGAAAGGCTGTCAACCAGAATGGAAAGTGGGAGGTAGCCCAGAGGACAGGTGTGCATGCGGCACACTACACATTCACATAATGGAGATTGGCCACGGGTTACCACTCTGGTAATCGTTGGTTCCATGCACTTAGCATATTCTCCACCACACACACAGTGCCCAAAAATGTGCCTGCCACAAACACCAAGAAAACAGTTCACAGGCCTTCGTGGTTGCATTACCACAGTCCGAAGTGATATCCCCTCCCAAGCCGCAGAGGCCATCAGCCAAAGCGATTACCGCAATGGGGCACTCAGAAAAACCTACCTTACTTTTATTAATCATAAATATATCCTTGAAGTTGAAATCACTTAAATATGAAAATTGGTTTTAAAATGGAGTGGCCACTGCTGTTACATTTATGTACAATACTGCAGCTTCCTAAGTTCTTGTCCCAGAATTATCTTCTGCGCACTTTGAGAGGGACATGTGGCTGACACATGTAACAAGTTTCAAATAAATCCTACACGGTCTATTTATGCAATTAATTTCCAAAATTTGTAACATGACTCCTTATAATTCTTAAGCTTTAAAAGATGTGATATTTATATATGTAAGATTTGAGGTTCTCATGGCAGTGAGTATGAAGATGGCTGGCTGTCTTCCGCGTTTGTAACACTGTGTAGTCAGGCAGAAGTTTAGATTTCAGAGGTAACTGTTGCCTTCATTAGAAAGAAAATATAATGAGCTTTTCAATGAGTTCTACAATGTTTCTCAAAGTGCACAATCATAGGAGTTATTAAAGAAAAACATTGTGCATACCTTTTATACCAAGGTCAGGGTGATTTTTTAACACCTGTATTTGAAAAACCATTTGACAGAAATTAAAAATAGATAAAGTCAGTTTGCAATGGTATGAATATGTATACAAAACTTCATTAAAATCCGAGACATCAAAGTTCAATGCTTGTGTTGGTTTTCCATGGAATGGCTGTTTATTTCAGTTTTAACAAACAAACATTAAAATTACCAAAATTTTCTTCAGGACGCACAAATATACGTTTCTGATCACAGGTTTCACTCACATTCTGGTCATAAACTTTTTTACCCGGAGCCTGACATGACTACAGATGTGTATGACATGCAATTTAGTCTGGAAATAATATTCCAGAATTACGTCTTTTTAGTTCACTGCAACAATTTTACACAATATGCTCAGAATATTATTGCAGAAGGGCATATGTTCTTACACCTACATTATATTTGACAAAACTTCATTATTAGTGTTCATACACCCAAATGCAAATGTTTCTACTTCTCTGTAGAGTAGCATGATACACATCCCACTACTTTATGTTGTTAGACCAAATATCTATGTAAATATCTTGACACATACTTCTGGCATGATACCCTTGAAATGGCATGATTTAAATGCCAAGCATCATCTGTTTGATGACAATCTTGAGTAAGCACAACAGGAGATATCAGAGGCAGTAAGGATGTCATCTGATTTAAATAAATTAATAAAATGTAATGTCACAGAAAAATATTCAATACCAATGGAAATTTAGTATACTGACATATTGCTCGATACTTTTATTCTTTACAAAGAACAAATCTTGATAAAATATTTAAACCTAAAGCCCATCTTCTTATTTTAACTGAGTCATAGGTTTTCTTGAAGTCTATAAATAGCTTATGTACTGTACCATTGTCTTCCCACCTTTTCTCTAGTATCTGGCAAATGTAGAAAATTTGATCAGTTGTAGATCTATTACAACGTCGGCTTACTGGTGGTCCCAAATAATGTGACCGACATGAAGACAACCTCACATGAAGAATGTTGGATAAAATTTTGTGGGCAGATGATAAGAGGGAGAGATTCATGATAATTATTAAAGTCCTATCACCTTCTTATAAATGGTATAACAACAGACTCCTTTTTCAAACACAGACCAAATGGGATGTGAGTAACGTGAAACATCAGACAATCAGTGCCTAACAAAGGAGAAAAAATGACAGACTTCCCAGTGTGGGCCACAAAGAAAATTATGAACTGCTGGGTATGGTGTTTATCTGTCTACAAGAAAGAAGCAGTCCATTCAGTCCTTATCACAGAAATTTGGAAATGTTTTTTGCAACTGTGACAAAATCAGCAAAGCTGCCAAAAAAGATTTATGAACACTTTCTCGGCAATGTAATACAGCCCAAGTGAATAAACACTTGCATAAGTTTCTGCTACTTCTTTACTCCTTGGGAGCAGAGATTAAACCCTACACTTTATGACATGCAGCTTCTGGATAAGAATGATGAGCCCAGTTCATTGAAAGTAACAGCGCTGAAATGTAGAATATTATGTAAGCCTTCTGATGTGTATTTATACAGGTAAGTAAAGAATTATATTTCACAGTTTCAGTACTGCCTGGTTCTCATAGCAGTTAATAATAAGCTATCTAACAGGGAAGACTGTATAAAAGTGCATGCACTTTACATAATGAATTAGAAGCACCTATTTACATAAAAATGATAAGGTATGCATGGTATGCTACCAAACTAACAACATCACATGAAGTTCTATGCAAGTAAAAACTGCAAAATGCAAGTGCAGCAAGCAAGCATTCATTCAAAGTTTGTGGTGTCCCAAAGTTCAATTTTCATTGCAGTTATGATAAGTATTATCCTGCAAACCTGCCACCCCATTTTTAAGTGTCTGATACTATTCTGACAATGTGTAAAGCTTCACTGTTGTAAAGCACTGGTGAATTTTCAACCTTTCAAGTTTAGAATCCAACTGCATCCCTCTCATTCTCTAATATAAATATAGGAGGAAATAAAATAAATAAATGCAGAGTTAACGGAACAGAATTTTAAAGCCTCCAAACACATTATAAATGTAATTTAAAAAATCACATCATTTGCAACTGAACTCCGGCCCCATACACTGTAGGCAAACACACTACCAACTGAGCCATTGCACTTATGCAATAACAGTGAAGAAGGTGGATAATAAAATTGTGTATTGCAAAGAAACAACCTAATATTTTAGTGAAGAGGTTACAAGAGAGTCCGCTGCCAAAATGCAAAACAGAAACTGAATTAGAGGCTTCCAACTGACCAAATCCCTTTGTCAACGTTAAAAGAAATATCAATCAAAATGCCTCGTGTTATTCTTCAGCATGTATAGGTGACACTCTCAATCTCCTGTCACTGGCAAGCTACTGAGTTTACGTGAGTTTGTTTTTGACATACTTGCCGTGTTCTTAATTTTAATACAAAGACACTATGGAAGTGAAACAAAATTCTATACATAAACCAACCTCAGTGTTCACATGGGTCCTTATATGTCCTTTGTGATATTTTTCATTTATGATATGCGTTATGCATTGTTATTCACTGGCTCTATGATATTCTTTGTTGCAGTTGTAAGTTTTCCTATTCCTTGTTTGCCTTATCTTTCAGATATAATTTTCTCAGAAATCATGTTTCTGGAAGATCAGAAAAAACATTAATCTGAAATTCTGTAATGTTTGCTGCACTTTAAGCTCTTCCCCTATTGTCATACAGTATTAATTCTCACAATTTTCTCTTCTTTGTACCTGCTAGCTAGCAGGATCCACCGCAGCCTTATTCTTGCCAGCTGTCTGTTCACTCGGTATATATTCTGGCAAGTGCCCTCCTATCTGTCCTAACTATTCCTACCCTATCTTAACCCATCACTCTCTTGTGCTTCCACACATTTATAAACTTCATCTCACATATAAGTTTGTTGCATTTCCCATAACTTAAAATAATGCACTAAAATTCAAAGTTACACATGTGCCTCTATCATTCTCTTACATGGTACATAAGAGAACTAATTCAAGTACACACTGTTATATGTATAACCGCATTCATGAAATTACCTGTGCACTGATAAGGTGCCGTAATGTAGCATCCGACCTCTCACACTGCAGCTTGAAGTTGAAAGATTCATTCACCTTGTGAACACAGTGTTCACACACCTGAGCTGGAAGGCCATCACCAGCAAACATCTTGAAGCAAGATAATCAACACATCCAATTTATATGGAAATACTTCTTGTAGTCCCAGTATCTTATGAATATCACAGTTTGAGATTACTGTTTCTTGGCTAAATTCTTGAATCAGCTATCTCAGATGTTGAACAATGTTGGGATTCCCTTTACTCCCACCCACCCCTCCCATGGTAGCACTGTGTAGATGTGGGGTGAATGGGTCATGATTCAGACATCCCTACTGTCCCTAATGGCCTAACTGTCATGACCCCATGGCCCTTGCCAACATTTGCAGTCCCAATGTCCAGTCCACTGTTCAGATAATGACCAGTATATATGAAATGGAACAGAAAACAGACCTGAAAAGCAAAGACCACTTTCTGGGACATAGAGAAGTGGAATGCCTGGCAAATGTACAGGTGTGGGTCAGTGAGGACAGACATAGGAAGAACAGAAACACAATAAAGAGAAGCAAACTGGTATCATAAAAGGGGAGCCACAATGAATCTCATAACTCCAGCACTAACATGAAATGAATGGTTGAGGCATCCTCTTTCCTGCTTTCGCACACGGGTCTTCCAAACTTGTCCAATATGACAACCCCCTTCTGATAAGGGTTGATTTCACTGGTTTCATAAATGAGTCCACTGACAATGTCACACTATATTTTCCACACTAACACACACGGCAAAGAACACTTCTGAAAATGCTAACCTACAAACTGATCTGATGGACATTCAAGGACAGTGTCCTCTCCCAGGCAGATACCTAGAGTAGCGTTCCCATGGTGCACCCTAGGTCTTCAAAGATATATGACAGCACACCACAAAATTTAACAACATAAAACGGCGGTACAACACTATACATGTATGTATCTAGATATAAGTCCTTGCCACACAAGAGTGCAGAAAAATAAAAACAACACATAACATATGCTGAATAAAATTATCAATGATGAACCAGTATGTTTGTCCATGTGCACACACATATCTATTAAAATTCTAAGTACAAAAGACAATATATTTCCTTTTTCTAACTATAATGTGCAAATATACAATTTTTTATAAAACTTTGTGGCACACCTGAAACCTTGTTGTAGCATTGGTTGCAGAACACAGACCTAGTGAGACACAAAATAAGACTACAAGCCAGCAGCACTACCTTCCAGAACCTGTTTAATCACATAAGAAGAATAATAGTACAACAGAAACTAACACATGTATCATTCTTATACCAGTCTCAGGGCTTAGTAGGTCTTAAATGCCCACAAAATCTCATGTTCAAGGTAATTTACATCAGAGAAATGGGTACCACAAAAGAACACTATACGAAGGCCAACCAGAGAAACTTCCAGCTTTGTCCTTCAGAGGTGCACAAACAAAGGGAATGTGAGAAGTTGCTTCAACCAACACAACCTACTGGCTTTGCATCAATGACCACTAATTTAAATTTCATTTAGTGCCCCATATAGAGATAATATGCTCTTACTATTCCATTCCTTCGGCTTTATTAGATACTGAAGAATGTAAGGAGCAAACAAAATTCATATTCATTCACAAGTCTGTGAAATATATCACATATGATATGATCAAAAATAGATAAACTTATTATAGATTTTGGAAACCAATGAAAAACTATCAGAGCCATTCATAAAGTGTTAGAGCCTTCATTCTTCTGGGTTCCAGCACCATGTAAGTCTTGTGAAGTTTACCATTTCAGAGGACCACTGAAACATTGACAAACTTCTACCAGACAGAAGACAGTCACTTTTGCAGTACTCACTGCTGTGAGAACCTCAAATCTTACCAAGAGCATTCATGTTCAAGGAACATTTCAATGGCCAGCACAAAAGTTTTGCTAGGGACTAGTGACAAAGAATCGCATTTGGTGCACATTCTAATAGAGTTAGGGAAGTTAGAATAGTTTATGTTTAATTAACCTTAACAACGACACAGTTTCAGTTAGGGGGTTTAATCTCCAGCAAATGCAGATATATCTAAAATTCAGAGACAAATATATGTTGTCACCGTACTATATAGTTATTCACGGACATCAATAAGCCAATGGTGATAGGATATCAAGTCTATAAAATGTCTAGGCATGTAATGTGTAGAGATAAACCCGTTTAAATCAAAAGTTGAATAAACAAACCTTCACCAAAGGCACCAATGTCATGATTCTATCAGGAAGAGATCCACCTTCATCAAATAGGGGCAGCAAAGATTGTTTCTCTGCCATACACAGACGACAAGTGTTGATAAAATTTACCACCATTTCTGTGGAAAATAAAAGTATTTCCTTATTTTTGTATTGAGTCACATGTATTAACTGACTATTATATCTCCAATAGTGTGTTTTTAATGCTCGGATTTTACACGAATCACAATTCAATCACCACACAGAACATCCAACGTCAACCACTGTGTTTCAAACATCCGTCTGGAATAACCACAGATTACACCACAAATTCTGCAATTCCAATATTAATCTACGAATACCAACACGAGAAAATGATAGCAAACACAAGACTGATCCTCTTCAGAAAGAAGTTTTTGTCTGTAGTAGATAAGATGAGGTTGGTGCCCGGAGCTCAGAGAATAATAGCCAGAGATGGAGGTGTATGACATAAAAAGAATGAATTACTAATAGCACTTAAAGGGCTGCTTACAAGACTTGGCATCTTTAACAAAGATGACTAGAAACTTTGAGCTTCTGCCGCTGATTTCATTCGTGTCTTCATAGAATGAGCATTACCTATCAGTAGAGGTTTTCCGTATGCATTTTGTAACAATTTTTCCCTTATGTCTGTGTAACACAAATTACCACTTGCTGACATATGTTGCGGCCGAATTGTCTTGCCTTTTGAACTTAACCATCACCAGTGTTTGCACTTCTCTAAATAAGGACATGGGCGATAAGCGCGATAAGATAACATAAACACATAAATTTCAAACCATCGGAGATAAACCGAGAATGGAAAGGAACTTTGGTTTCAATTTCAACCGAAAGGTGCATCGGTAGATCCTCTGACTGGCATTTTCATTCACGAGATATTTCAGGTCTGTTAAAACTTTGGGCGGTGAACTAATTCGGAGTTTGGTCTCAACGGTTAAAGAATTTGTGCATTGAGCAGTAAGGTGGACAAGCAGGTTAGAACCATATCCAACCTATAAAACGTGAGATCGAAAAAGAGATGTTAGAAAGTTTCATTTGATCTTCATACAATACACGAAGCAGGATAACCTCACCCTCTTTGGGTCCACAGCTTTGCTCTTCTTGATGGTAAAGTAAGGAGGGACGAACTAGGTCCAACAAAAACTTTAACCTATCCATGTGAATCGGACATTTTTACAGTTGCTTCTCTTCCCGCAAATATTTTCTGATACACATGGTGGGCAAATCTAGAATTTCATTCGTTATTACGTGTAGCTAGTGAACCAAAAAAACATAAATTAAAAATGTGTATCTTGACATGAGGATACACCAGAAAACCATAATAACAGTTAAGAAAACTAATGATTGTAGGAAGTTAAATAATGGAAACCCAACAAAGGACATGACTAAAGCACACTGGTGGAATATTTTGACCTTGGTAAAGAATTTGTTTGTGTGAATTATGATATATTGGCATCAAAACAAAACTATTATGGTATTCTAGATAAAACTAGGCAGTGATTTAAATTATACTGTAATGGCAGAAAGCAAAGAGTAGAAATTAAACCTCATTATTCATGTTATGACATACTGAAACTGGAGCATTGCAGAACTTCTTTTACTCCTACATCTTGGCAATGTACCCCATCAGCTGTCAATCCAAGCCTATGCTTTTTGAAACTAGTACTATTAATAATACTTTTGAAAGTGTCTACATTGACAGTTAAATTAGTAATGCCACTGCAAACCTAAACAAATGGTTTGAAGCCACTAAACTCACCAAATGTTGACAAAACATTAAAACGTGTTCTCAAACTAGACACCGAGCAGATCTGGGTCTTTCAGACTGGGTAAAATAAGCTCTCATCCTGGATATACCAGGTTCTTGGGAAGCTCGGATGGCAATGCAAATGGCATGCTGCAGATGGGAGTCTTCTCATTGCTCAATGAGCAAAGGGCCTTGACATATTCATCACACTTGAAAGTGGACTCACTTGAGACAAACATGAGTAACAGTAGTAGTACATCAGTTTTGCTGTGATGGTTAAGTTCTTGCATCTGCCATGTTGTTATTGCTGACTAGGAAGCTGGAAATAATGAGGTGGTTGTGGTCTCCAGTGTCATAATCTTCATACCAACTAAAATAAATGAAAGGGAGCTACATTTTGATTTATGCTATGTGTGCATCACCAGTGGGAAATTGACCATATTTAACATTTATAATTTGTTTTCCAGGAATGGCATTCAGTGGTAAGGTGGTACTGATTACAGGGGCAAGTTCTGGAATTGGAGCTGCTACTGCTGTCCATTTCTCTCGATTGGGAGCAAGCCTGTCCCTTACTGGTCGTAATTCAGACAACTTGAACAAAGTTGCAGATCAGTGTATTGTATCAAAGGACCAACCAAAGCCATTTCTGATCACTGGTGACATAACAAATGAAGCTGACACAAAAATAATTTTGGACTCAACTATTAAACAATTTGGTAAGCTTGATGTTCTCATCAATAATGCAGGAATCTTGGAAACTGGAAGCATTGAGAACACCTCATTGGAACAGTATGACCGACTCTTCAACACTAATGTCAGGTCTCTGTACCACTTAACAATGTTGGCAGTTCCATACTTAATACAGACCAAAGGAAATGTAGTGAATGTGTCAAGTGTGAACGGGATTAGATCTTTCCCTGGCGTTTTGTCTTACTGCATGTCGAAAGCTGCAGTAGATCAGTTCACTCGCTGTGTTGCTTTAGACTTGGCTCCCAAGCAAGTGCGAGTCAATAGTGTAAATCCAGGAGTTGTAGTAACTGAACTCCAGAAACGGGGAGGAATGGACTCGGAAGCTTATGAGATGTTTCTGGAACGCAGCAAGCATACACATGCGTTGGGTCGCCCAGGACAACCGGATGAAGTGGCTCGAGCAATCGCGTTTTTGGCCAGTGATAGTGCAAGCTTCATCACAGGGGAAACAATGCCAGTGGATGGTGGACGTCATGCCATGTGTCCTCGGTGAAACAAAATTTGAATTATATTAATTGATGGCTTGTGTAAGTAAAAGTGTAAGGTGTGGGTGTAATCATGTTTTAAATTTGTATATTGTAACTCCATATTTTGGATTAAATTGATTTAATTACCATATAATGCAGAAGGTTAAATATAAATCAGTAATCTGTTCCTTAGATTTTTTACCTCCTTTACATGTCCCTCCCTTTCTATTAAGGAACACGGAAGTTGAACACTTACAAAATCTACATTATGCTTATAACTTTTTTATTAATGCTATGTTTCACTCACTGACAGTTTTGAAGAGAGATTTGTTTTAAAAAGGGAACACAGTATTAATTATATGCCAAGTGTTTAATATGTTCCTAGAATGCCCATGGGAAAACTTGTAAATCATGTACAATAAAAGTTAATAAATACAAGTGGGGGAAGATTTGCAGAAGAGAGAATGGATAGAGCTGACAATATATAAAGAGGAACAATTGTGGGAGGATGAAGAATGGACAATACAATCCAATGGTCTCATATATCTTATCTCTATTATTACAGTTCTTCAAGGATCAGTTTAATTAAATAAGACAGTCACCTTCATACTCCCTGCTGTGAAAACTGAAATCTCACCCAGTTCTATTAAACTCTGACACACTGTTCCAAATGTAACTGGACGACTTGGCAAATATTTTTGTACAGCATTAAAAAAATAGTCCAGTTAAATTAGTTTTCAGCTGTGGGATCTGCAGGGTCAAGGTGGATGTTTACTGCTGCAAGAGCATCCACAATCCATTGTGGATATTCTTTGTTTGTGTAAATGTTGGCCATAAACTTACAAACAAACTCAGGGAACCGCTGCTGCTCTATGCTCTCTCGTATTGAGAGCATGAGTCGTAGCTGAAACAACAGAAAATACAGTAACCAGTAATGGGGTTATGAAACAATGTCACTAAAATACCACATAATTCTAGTTTACCTGATATGCAATATTGTGTACAGACAACAAATGACAAGCAACAGGTTCCACTGTCACAATGGTATGTAGGTATGCACGGGTGTACCGTTCACAAGTTGAACAGTCACATCCTTCATCAATGGGCTGGAAATCTTTGGCATACTTCTTCTGTTTGAGGTTCAACTGCCCACTGCAGGTAAGAGCACATCCAAATCTCTGTCCAAAGGAAGAAACATTAAAATGTAATACATTTATCTCAAACATCCACTCTAAAGCTTACATATGGCATAAAGCAAACTGCTAGAAAAAATGTCTTTAACATACATATACTCTGTAATGTCTTCATGCAGTCACACAATCCTGAACACATTACTATCATTGTAAATTTAAAATCCATTCACAATTCACAAAATTGTTCTAGAATGTACATGAAATAATTTTCATGGAACTGCTGCAGAAATACTATACAACTGTTTCACATTTATGGTTTCACAGTATGTAGATACATGCAAGTCTTCTGCGCTCTACCATAGCTCCTCAAACAAAGAATTACTGCATGCTATTAAAATATTCATTGTAGCTTCAAGAAAATTTTAATAAATTCTTCACAGGCTACCAGCTGTTAGGTGGTTGAAAGGTGAAAAACCAACATCTCAAGAACCATTTTCATCCTTGTCCCCAATATACTAAGTACTTCACCTGATGCAGCTGGTAGCTGGAGAAGAAATTATTATACTTAGTTGCCATGAAAGTTCAAATCATGCTTCAAAAAAATTATTATGTAAATCTGATGAAGTACTAAAAATGAATTAATATTACAGATAAATTACACAAAGCATGTCCTGACACATTACTACATCTGGGTGTGATTACAGCTCATTCCATTGTTTCACTGAAATGTGGTTAGCATTTAAAATCAGGGTACTTATATCATATATAACCTTTTTGATATTTGAGAGTAAAAACACGTGCACTACACTTTGCAACAGGATTTTAAAGATCCTGATCAAAATCTATCAACTGGAACAAACAACATTTGCATACAAAACAGTTTACTAGGGAATGAGTTGTTCTGTTGCTTCAAGGGGGGGGGGATGAATATTCATGTCGAGTAATGAATATCATGGATGCCTTTCAACCAGTAGAAACAAGATGAGTGAAAATTTACCATGAAATGGATGAAGATATACAAATTTCTTGTGGCTTATATCAGGATACTATGTAAATGAAGACTGTGGACTGTGGCATGCCTCGGCCAAACCTGTTCCACGATTACTGACATAAGAAGGTAAAGAATATCACTTGTCTGTAGCTTGTAATTTGCTTCAACATTCAGAAACTGATGAAAACTTAAAATGGGCCTATAATCTATGACCTTTAGACTATGCAGCAATCACAACAGAAATCCATTCCCCCATAATGACAAAAAGAATCATTCAAATACAGTGTAACTAAATTGTTTCTTATTGTTTTCTTTGATTATGAGAGTACTGTGCTCCGCAAGGTCACACTACTAACCAACATTAAAACTCACAAATGGTTGCAAAATTGGGAATCCAGCAAGTGACAAATTCACATTGAAAAGCGCCTGCCCACTCAATCCAGGACGAGCAGTAATCTTTAGCTTAACGAAGTATTCCACACGGGAGACAGGTATGGCTCCCTGTGACTTCTTTTCTGATCCATATATTCAGAAAGAACTCGACTGGCAAGAAATGTGCAAACAATTGAACAGAATGCAATGGAGCAGCTGTTGGGGGATTCAAAAACATAGGACACAAGCTGCTTCCAGCAAAGGTAGAAACAGTGCTACAAGTACACAAGAATGTGAGACGAGGTTCTCATGGCGGCGGGGATTCCACTGGTGGTTTTGGTATTTCCTGTGTAACAGTAATATAAGTTTGCTTCTAAATAGCTTACAGCTGCAGATACCCAACTGGTCAAGATGACAGTCAGTACATAGGAAGCAATTAACATTTTTATTTTACTTCATGTACCTGTACAACCCAGGCATTTCACGATGGTATGAACTGGGATGTGAGTTAATTTCAGGTGTGAAAATCTGAAACACACAGTTCAACCTCCTGCACAATAAAAACAAGACAGATTCTTCCATATACTGAAATTTCTGCATTTCAGTCACAACAAAAGTAAATCTCATACAAACGATCAAATTTATAATAGGCTGTGGAAAATGAGAACAATTTTTGACTAGCTCAATGATGCATATGCTAAATATTACAGCCCAACAGAACATTTAGTGGATTGAAGAAATCATTGTGCTGTTCAAATAGAAAGTAATTTTCAACAGCATACACCACAGAATGAAAAAGGTTTGGGATAACAATCTACAAGCTATGTGATTCTACAGGATACACACACAACATGTCAGTATATTTAAGCAGACATAGGAAACATACGACTGTCATAATGACAACTAACGCAACTGTGTCAGGACTTACTACAAGGATAGACAATTTGGGATGCAGATTATACATGGACAATTTTGTCTTTTCTTTGTAGGATTTGAGGTTTCCACAGCGGTGAGTCTGAAGATTGCTGTCTTCTGATTTATCTGATAATTTACATATGAAGGCCATAAATTGCTATAGCACTGTCACAACAAACTGAAAAGGAATGCCTACTGATTCTGGAAGGAAGCTCAGACTGAAATACGGCGAATGGTGACTTAAGAGCTCTGGTATGGAAAGAAAACTCAAATGCAAACATATTTACAAATATGCACTGCTCTCCAACAGAAGGTAATTTCTGTGACGAGTATGGAAATGCAGACACCAGCCATAGCAAACAACTATAACACACACATGGGGTCCACAGGAAAGACTGACCACATGACAAGCAGTTATTCAATTAGTAGTTGTTGCCTTTGATGAACTGAGTGTTTCAAGATTTTGTGTGTGTGTGTTGAAGCCAATAATCAATATTTTCAGTCTTCACTCTTACCGCTGTTCTGGTAGGGAATACACAGTCAAACATATCCACTCCAAGAGCACAGCACACCACCAGGTCAACCGCAAAGCCCACGCCCATCAAATATCGTGGCTTGTCTTCTGGCAGTAAATCTGTTGTTAGGTGCACCATTTTCCAAAAATCATTCTTGCTCTCCCCTCCACTACAAAGAAAACAAAACAACCATTCTATGAATGGCATGGGTATCAGCAATAGCCACAAAAAAAGTTATACAAGATAGGAATTTTATATGGTATTTTCATGTTCTCATATCTGACATTTCATTACACGATTATTCTCTTCACTCACATTGTGTGTTAGTAATTCATGATTCTGTAAATCTGGAACAGATATGTACAGACATTTATAAGATATAAAAAGAATTGATAACAACATTCCATTGACAGTGTCATATGTGTACATGTTTGAACCAGCCCAGAAGTTAATGTCTGGTCAGCAACTTCTGCTGCCGCTCAGAATATCGAAAGCACAGAGCTCCACAATCTTAACTAGCGTAAACATCTGAAAATGTTATCAATCTGAATGATTATTTGTACTCTACCTACTGACAAAGGAACTGCATTCATACAAATTAGAAACTTCTTTGAACTCTGCTATGTTACTATGTACATACTACATTCTCTTGACCACACAACTTACAAATAAGTCCCTTTGTCACTAGCTGTAGCTTAGAAATCATGGTTTCTGCAACTCGTAATGGATGCACACAAAATCAGCAATTTAGAAAACAGTGAGATATGAACAAATTTTTAAATTGTGCCTCGAAAGTGCCATATTCATTTGATATTTAAAGGGCTCTTCAAAACCACAGTCCAAGAGGCTCAGTTACTGTCAATATAAATGGAATGGTAGAAAGTTAAATCACTTAATACAGACAAACTAGTTGTTTATCACACATTTTCCTTAATGCCAATTTTTAATAAGAACACATACCATAAACCACCCAAAAATAAAACAAACCTAAACTAAATCACAGATCTGAATGATTTAAACATTGACATGCAGAGGCAACTGTACCTCAGTATGTTAACAGAACATTGGTTAATCCAGCAAATATTTGTTTCTACAGCAACACAATATTATGAAGTCATCGCACGCAATCAGCCATCAGGATCCTGGGATCCTCAGACATATCAGATCTGTCTGCAGATCTCAGAATGTCTCATATATCAATCAATATACCTGCCTGGAACACTTGTTGCCAGACTGGGTGGCAAGTGTGCCTAGTGGTAGAGTCACATGCCGAGCTCTGCTTGGCCTTGCCTTCCCATTGGTGCATCTCTAGATGGCTCTCAAAATGTCATGTTTTTAAAGACCGCTTGAAGTGGCTGATTACCTGTGAAGACTTTACTAAATTTTGTTACCAAAGACCTATAGATCATACAATTAATAACAAGCACAGTGACTGTGCATTACCTGAGGCCACCAATAGCAAAACCAGGAACGTCTCTTTGTATCAACTGCTTGACACTCTCAGTGCGCAGTGCTTTACTTAGTCCACCTTGCACAATAGGAAAGATGCTCTGTGTGGCAGCATTCTGATGAGCTCCGAGGCACCGGTCCAACCATCTTGTGGTGCTATGTATGATTTAAACACAAAAAAGGGCCAAAATTTAAGTACTACATAAATAAACCAAGCCTCTTCCAATGTATTATTAATACAGGGCTAAAAAAGTAGGTGTGTGACAATAAATCAGTGATCACTACCGATTAATCACTTTAGAATACATACACAAACTATGCCAGTCCAGGCAGTGTGAAAAAGACACCCGCACAAAGTCTAAGCCTCTAACATTTTCTGTGTTGGGCTTTCCCTAGTATTATATTGTGAACATTTGGATTATTATGATTTTGTATGACTTCTGCTTCCCCTCCAACATTCAACCCATGGCCTCCTCATCACAGAGGGAAATAATGTCACTGGATAGTGAATAGGGCTCACATCCACTGAAGCCAAGGTCTAAGGTATCAAGCGAAGGGCTGTTTGGTTCTGAGGTGGTGGTAGCAGTGTCACTAACAATCCCTTCAGGACACAAAGTAACACCCTGTCACATCAATGCCTCCACCGGCATGGGGCTCTGTGGGTGGTAATTTCGGTCCCTGGTTCTCATGGAACAAAAATGGAACACAAGAATAAAAGAGCAATGTCGAAAGCCATACAAAGGAGCTCTGAGATACAGAGACTCCAGCAGCAAGTTGATTCTTCTCAGCAGGCAGCCAGCAGTTCTTGCATGCCACCTCCAGCAACTGACAGTATCAGCTAATGTGGGAAGCTGAGAAGACACTTGGAGGCAGGGGCTCAACAGTTATGAAAAACATAATTTTACTGTTTTATAGAGGCCATGTCTGTCTGGAAGCCAGCAGCTCTGGCATACCACCATTGGGGGCTGGGAGTCACAGCAAACCCATGGATGAAGGTAATCTAATCTACACTGTAGCCCTACAGTAGACAGGCTTCATCTGGCATAAATCAAGTTTTTGGAATGCCAGAAGGAAGCTTGAAAGCTAGGAAGAGGCAAAGTAGTACCAGAAGGTTCTGAAAACTAAGGTACCTGCCACTTCCTAAATCCAAGAGGGCCTTGACCAAGATGCCAATTAGACCCAGTTCTAAGGGAAATATCAGAATTATAGACAATCCACTCTTCAATGACCACGTCAGAACAATGACTGAAATTTTTGACTCAATAGCTGATGGTGTGAACCAGAGCATTGACTGACACTTTTTACTTGATAGCTGATGGTGTGAATCCTTTAGTGTTACACCCATGTGAAGCCACTTTCACCACCCAAGGGCTGACTGAAGTCCTAAGCTACACTGTGAGGGGAGTAACAATCCCAAAGGATATAGGGGAATTCTTTTCTGCAGTAAACTGTAATGCTGGTTACACTGGGCAAGACGGCCATAATATTCACCTCGCAGAATTTTCTGCATCAACCTGCCATTATGGGGATAGAGAGAAAAATAACAGACTGTAGTGGTGTGGATACCTCCAGCACAACGTGACTTCAAAAAATATGTCAAAGGAATTATTGTTTAAGACATCACTGATAATCAGAAAATAAATTTAATGGTAAGTCATGAACCACTGGTAGGCTGCAACTTTATGCCCCTACCTTGGAAACAATTGCCCATGGCCCCCACCATGAAATGTAGTGATATGTCAGTCTATGCAGATTCATGGATGATCGTGTTGTGGCTACTTCCAGCAATAACACGATTCAGCCAGATCAGCAGTAACAACTGCTGGGAATTCCGATGCCATCTGGGCACATTGCTCGTAAGTAAAATGCATCTTCTTAATCCTACTCAAGGATGATCTTGTCAGTGTCCAAAGTGATCACTTTGAAGATGTTTCCCCATTAAAATTCTGGCCCTGGCTTGTTCGCCGAAGTTAGAATCTAGACT